AGACTTCCAATATTTAACCTAAAAGCCTCAGGGGTTTGGAACAACATGTCGGCGAGTAATTTATAACATAATTTTCCTTTTTGGGTGCACTAATGATTTAACTTATCGTATGGACACAGCAGACACATCATCACAAAACTGTTATAGGGAAAACAAATGTAATAGTCAGATCATAAGAGCGGAAACAGACCCATCAATGAATCGAGCTTAAGCTTGCTTTCTTGGAACTCAATAGACCCCTCAACACCAACAAGAGCATTTGCATACTGTTTCTGTTTGTGTACATCCATTTACGGCCAGAATCTGCTTGCTTTCAGATGCAGACTTGCAGCAGATCCAAACGCAAACATCATCTGACATGGTGACATTCACTCCAGTGCACAGTGTCTTCAGATCTTAATCCAGAAGGACTGAATGAGGTGGAATATGGCAGGAATTTTAGAGGCCTACAGAAGGTGCACAAAATCTAGCAACAAGAAAAACCTGCGCATCAATGTTTCGAAAGCCTTCGGAAATGTTGCATCATGTGGAATCTCATTATATTAATAAACCTGGGAAAAAAAGCTCAATGGTGCAATCGTCTATTTATTTTACAGTGTGTTGTAATGCAACATAACCTGGTTATGTTTTCTTTTTTAGAGATTGATGATTTACAGGATTGAAAATAAAAGGTAATTAACATGTATGCATTCATTTATATTGTTCAAGCTACATTTTTATAAAGCGAATGGAGATCTGTCAAGTTTCAGTTACATCACATAACCTAAAGCCAGATTATCTAAGATGTCAATTTTCATATATGATGTGCATATTGTGTCAGATTTTACAAAGATCTTTTTTTATCATCACTGATATTTTTTCAATGCTTCAAACAATTTTTCTAAACTGCTAACACATTTGGCTAAATGCTTAAATCAAAGCCACATTGCTTAAACTACTCTGTAAAACCCAAAAAGTTAAGGTAAGTTAAACCATTTGAGGAAACCAATTGCAGAAAATCATTTAAGATCAAAAACTAATCCTAATGAGTACTGAGAACTTAATCCATATAAATAAAATGAAGCAATTTGAGTACAGTCAAACCCAATAAATGAGTACTGTAAAACCCAGTAAGGCAACTCAAACCGTTTTAGGAAACCGATTGTTAGAAACCATTTGAGTTAAAAAATAAATAAATAATTATATGAGTACTGTGATCTTACCCAATTTAAGTTGATTTATTGAGGAATTTAATTAACTAATTACCTTCAACACCGAGTTCACAACTCTTTTCAAATGAGTAGAATTAACTTTCAGTGATTTTTGAGTTAACTACACTGATTTCAATTGATAAAGTTGACTGTTGGGTTTCACAGTAAGCACAGTAAAATATTAACACAATACACTTTATCTACCAAAACTGCACCTCAAAATTCTTTAGCCTCCCTGCATTGATTCTGCTGCATAAATTCAATACCATGTGTATATATGACTCAACTCAGAGTAGCTCGATTGTATTCCTTGTATTTCCCTAGATAGAATTGCTGCAGCAAAGCTCTAGATGCAACAGGAAATTACTGCAAGATAAAAAGGATATGCAATGTGGCTGCCATTTGTGTTCATGTATTACATAAAAATACAAAAGAGGAAGAGAAAAGGGCACAGATGAGTTAAATGAAAAGAAAATCTTCTAATCTGTTTGCTCTTCAGTATTTGGCCACATGTTCTCAACCACATGATGTCTGAGCATTTTGATAAATCTTATTTCCTCGCCTTCGTGAATTCATTTACTCTACTTACTTTCTTTGTGTTTTCTATTTTGTTCCTTTTCCACAAAAGATCAACCCAAAGTGATATTCTTTTAAATACGAATTAGTCATGAAGCCACACAACTATATTGTTTTATTAAAGTTTATTGAACAAACGGTTCATTTTGTTTCATAAGACCTCAATGTATTGGCTTTTGGGGGAAATTAACTTTTAAAAGGGATATATTACAATCCTGAGATCATTCAAAATGTTGGTACTTATGTTGGTACCCAATTACTTTTGAAGGAAGTAATTTGTTGTTATGTTACCATACCATGTTACTTGGCTTGTTATAATATAAAAAAGTATCATTAAACAGGTGGCACGGTGGCTCAGTGGTTATTGATGGTCATGAGAGTATGTCTGACAAGTCCACATGTACTTTGTGGACTTGGAGATGGTATTCGACTGAGTACCTCAGGGCATTATGTGGGGGTGCTCTGGGTGTATGGGGTCAAAGGTGCTCTGTTAAGGGCTGTCCAGTCTCCAGAGCAGGAGTTTGGTTCAGATTGGCAACATGTCAGACTTATTTCCAATGCATGTTGGACTCTGGCAGGGTTACCCTTTGTCACCAGTTCTGTTCATTGTTTTTATGGACAGAATTTTGAGGTGAAGCCTAGTGTCGAATTTCATTTCTGATATTTGCATCGACTTGGATATTCAGCATGCACTGGGACAGTTTGCTACTGAGTGTGACAAATCAGGAATGAAGATGAGCACCTGCAAGTCTAAGGCCATTGTCATTGACTGGAAAAATGTAGCCTACCATCTCCAGGCTGGAGGAGTTTTTAGGGATTTTGTTCACAAGTACAGGACGTTTGAAGCATGACAGACTGATTGGGTCTGTTGTGGTAAAGAAAAATCTGAATCAAAAGGCAAAGCTCTTAATGCGAGTATGTCCCAATTCTCACCTCATGACCTTTGGGTCATCACCAAAAGAACAAGATCGCAGATACAAGCAGGGAAGTGTGTTTCCTTTGCAGGGTGGCATGGTGCACCCTCAGATATAAGGTGAGGAGCTCTTTTACGTGGGAGGAACTGGGAGTCGTTGCTCCTCCATATCAAGAAAAGTCAGTTGAGGTGGCTCAGGCAACTGTTTTAGATACAGTACCTTCTGGACACCTACCTGGGGAAATTTTCTGGGTTCATCCAATGGGATGAGGCCCCAGGGAAGACCCAGGGCACCCTGAAGAGAGTCTCTCTCTCGTTTTGCCTGGAAAGACCTTGGGATACCCCTGGAGAATCTAGAGAAAGAGTCAAGGGAAAGGAAGTCTGGGGTTCCCTCTAGACACTGACCCTGAGACTCAGCCCCGGAAATACTGTGAAAAATGCTTGGTAACACACAAACTATTTGTGTTGAGACAACAAGAAAGAATTAAAATAACTTTTTAAAATAAGTTTATATAAATTTAAGCTGAACTAAATATAAAACAATTAAGTTGTCGCAAAATACCCTCAAGAATTGATGTTTGAAATAAGCAGTTTAAACAAACAGCAACCATTAATTTATTTGGTCCCACTTTATATTAACTATATTTATAATTATATTTATATTAACTACTATGTACTTGCATCAAAAAAAATAAATACAATGTACTTACTGTGTTTATGATGTATTTGAGAACACTTGTGGTGCTTTTGAGTTGGGATAGAGGTTGGGTTATGAACAGGTTTGGTGGCATGGGTAGGTTTAAGGGTGGGTTAAGGTGTAAGGGATGGTCAACAGTGTATTTACAAATGTAATTACAAAAGTTAATTACAGATGTAATAACATACTTGTATTAAATCAAGCATAAGTACACAAGAAATACATGTATTTACAGCATTAGTTAAGGCCACTTAATATAAAGTGGGACCATTTATTTATTTTAATTGAGTGTAAGCGGCAGACAATGTATGAATGAATGAATAAAATTAATGTTACTTTACCCCAGCACTAAATGAATGTAATTAAATTTGATCCCCAAACACTGTTCACTTTTAATATGGCCTTTTTGTTTTTAAGATTACTCTAGACTCAAGATTGGTCATCATTTGTTTTAGTTTGAGTTTTTAGAGTAATTATCATTTGAGTTGGAGCGAAGTCAATTTCTGCACTACCATACACTAAAAACATAATGTGCTGTTTGTTCAAATTACTTGTATAAAATGAGCTGAAACATCCAAATTCATGAGTTTTTTTACTCACAACTTAACTGTTTTAAATTTGTACATGTTGTCTCAACAACACAAATCGACTGTTTGGAACCCATCATTTTTAACAATGTGAAAACTGGGCTATACAGCAATTCAACTGAAACACCTTTAATTTAATTTTATTTAATTTGTATTTACAACAGTTGCATGCTCTTTCTGACTCTTAATATTTAGTACAGATTTACAGAGATGTCCCTTCCTGAAACAGCTTTTACATTGTGTACATGTAATGTCTTAAATGACATAAAATTATGCAGGGTAACAGGCAAAAGAATCTCTATACACCACGTGGGTCATAGCTTTGTCTCGGTGATTCGGTGGAAACACAACAGGCTTTCTGTTTTGTTTCTTCTTTAGTCAGACATAATTATTAGATTACATTAGAGAATGTATGTTGACGAGTGTTAAATAATAATATATAAAAAGATAAAAAGACAAAAGACCTTACTAGTAAGCATTTATTTATCTTTATAATGTTGACATTTAAAAACTCTATTCTATTAATTTCTTATTAATAGGCTTATTAAGAAAACATTTTACTCAGTCTAACGACAAGGAAGTGGTTTCAAATTACTTTTTTACACACTAAGTGCATCTCTTTCCTAGTAGGTACCCCATTATCATTTTTCCATTTCATACAAATTACTGCTGATTAAAGACTCATTTAGAACTATTTATTCTTTCATGACTGTCACAACACAACCATATTTATCATTAGAAAATAAGGCATGTACTTCAGTATATCTAAATACCTGAGTGTAATAGAAAGGGGTTCAGTTTAAAGAAAATATATATTTTTTAAGCTGACTCCCTATTATAGTGTAATTAAAACCTTTTTTAACAGTATGGACCAATACGAAAACCTGTAATTAAACTAATCATCAGCGCCCCCCTATGGTGAGAAGCAGACTACTCCTGTCAAAAGGGCATTTAACTGGGACAGAAAAGAAACATTTATTCAATTTAAACATAACATGGTTATTTTCCCGACCACAGTTACAAACCAACCACATTTGTTTTTTTTAAAGTACGCAATATTTAATAGCCAGAATGTAACAGTACTCTAATTTTTACATGTAAACGAAAAAGACAATAAGATGAAGTATCAACAGTGCTGAAACAGTATTGAGCGATAGACTTAGTTTGAAGTTTTTTTTTTCCATTTATTATATTATACTAGTCACAGCATTGGTGTAGCTTCTGTTTTTCCATCTGCAGTAACAAGCTGCATGAGAGTACCTGAAGGCGGTCTGCTTTCTCCAGTCGTCCACTTATAGAACAGCCTAGAATGCAGGAAATACATCAAAGCTTTATCCACACACACATGCAAACACACACACTGCAGATGCTCTCAAATAAACATACTCACTCTGTTATGTACTCTAGTGGTGTCCAGCAACTGACATCAGCATCTGGCATGAACTTTCTATTCATGGGTGTATCCAAAGTTACTCTAAAAGCAATAATTATCAGTCATATTGTAAAACTTAATGATTTGACATAAATGAGTAAACAGTATAAATGTATTTCTTACGGAAGGATTGCTACAGCAGCAGATCCCAGAGGAAGACCACTGTTTGGCGCACTGAGACTCTGACACAGCTGATGTACAGATGCCTTTGCCATTCCATAACCAATGCATCCTGCAAGAACACATCACACATATAGTATAAAATAGGTGAAAATACTCCACTTAAAATAATTGTTCAGTGATTAGACAATGTATTGAGTTTGGACATTAATTATATCCATTATTATTTTTTAAATTACAAAGGACCACAGTTTAAGCTAAAACAAATCTTTAACGTTATTCTGGAGAATAAAAGTCCTCAATATGTTGGATGGCAAAGATTAAAGCAAATTCAACTTGAAAATTAACAGCACATTCAAACTTAAGGATGAACTCACTCTTACAGTGTAACATCTCTAAATATTGATGGGATATACATTAAAAATAAACATTGATTCACAGGCCAGTGTGTTATTACATGACATAAACAGAGATGTTTACGAATTCACCTACTGTCCCAACCTGGGCTAAACCTTTAGAGAATGATTTATCCTTAACTATTATTAATATTTACATATATAATGTCATTAATGTTTTAATACTAAATCAGCTCTTCCATTTAAGATTTTGACAATTTAATTGAATAATTGATTAACCGATGACATGCAAATCTCTTGCACATTGCATTACACGACATTAATCTCAAAGGTACATTTATTCGATTTTATGAAGCCATATGAATCGTTGCATATTTAATTCCATGTATTGTAATTGAAGATACAGTTGAAGTCAGAATTATTAGTCCCCCTGAATTATTAGCCCCCCTGTTTATTTTTTCCCCAAATTCTGTTCAACAGAGAGATCTTTTCAACACATTTCTAAACATAATAGTTTTGATATTTCATGTCTAATAACTTATCTAATAAATTATTTTATCTTTGCCATGATGACAGTAAATAATATTTTACTAGATAATTTTCAAGACACTTCTATACAGCTTAAAGTGACATTGAAAGGTTTAACTAGGTCAGGTTAGGGTAATTAGGCAAGTAACTGTATAATGATGGTTTGTTGTGTAGACTATCACAAAAAATAGCTTAAAGGGGCTAATTATTTTGACCCTAAAATGTTTTTTAAAAATTAAAAAATGCTTTTATTCTAGCTGAAATAAAAAAATACGACTTTCTCTATAAGAAAAAATATTGTAATAATACTATATATATATATATATATATATATATATATATATATTACTCTGTTAAACATAATTTGGGAAATAATTAAAAAAGAAAAAAATCATATGTTAATTATGCTAATGTAGACGTTTCCATTTTATTAGCTTATAGGTTTAAATAAAAAGCAATAAGCAAAGATGTTTCAAGTGTAAATCTAACTAATAGAAATACTGAATTACCATTAATTATGCCAAGTTTCATTGTAGTAAATAATCAAATAATGATACCATTAGTGGCAGTTTCCCCCACAGTCCAAAGTCATGCGCTACAGGTGAATTGAATAAACTAAATAGTGTATGTGTGTGAATGAGTTTGTTTGAATGTTTCCCAGTACTGGGTTGCAGCTGGAAGGGCATCTGTTGTGTAAAACATATGCTGGAAAAGTTGGCGGTTCGACTGTTGCGACCTCTGATGAATAAAGGGACTAAGCTAAAGGAAAATGAATGAATGAATGAATGAATGAATGGAATGAATGAATAAATGGAATGAATGAATGGATGGATGAATGAATGGATGAATGAATGGATGAATGAATGAATGAATGAATGAATGAATGAATGAATGAATGGTCTTTTTACTTTTATATGGGTGATTCTAGAATTGTGGGCATATTTATTATACACAGATCTGTTTTTTCATCTCCTAGATAACCCTACTATTATTTCTCAATAACAAAAACTTTCATGAACACTTTTGAATAATAACACATATCGGGCTCTTTCTAAAAAATAATGTTTTTATGAGTATTTAGTTAAATTTAGTCTTTAAAATATTAAGCTGTAACTATTTTTGACTGTATCTGCCTCCTGAGTTATAGATTAAGCTTCATTCATTGATTTTCTTTTCGGCTTAGTCCCTTTATTAATCGCCAGAGTGAATAAACTGCCAACTTATCCAGCATATGTTTTACGCAGCAGATGCCCTTCCAGCAGCAACCCATCACTGGGAAACATCCATACACACTCATTCACACACATACAATACGGACAGTTAAAGCTTACCCAATCTACCTTTAGCGCAAGTCTTTGGACTTGTGGGGAAAACAAGCTCCACACAGAAACGTCAACTGACTCAGCCGAGGCTCAGACCAACGACCTTCTTGCTGTGAGGCAATCGTGCTACCCACTGCGCCACCGCAACGCCACATTTAGCTTCAGTTAACATACAATAATTAAAGGTGCCTTACAATCTACATACATGGGCATAGCTGAATAATAATAGTTCAGTACATGAAAATAGCATAACTGTGAGCATCAAACACCATTTTTTCCTCGCTTTTATTTAAATCCCGCTGAAAATTGGAACAAATCACACTTTTATATTACAGATGGAATCATTCCTCTATTTATAAATGATCATACAAATACAATTTCAGAAGATTGGTTTTTACTTGTCTAAACCACATAGCTACTATGCAGATAAAGGAGAACAATTTAACTCGAGTCAATGCACTATAATGTCACCTTTAAGTCTAATTGCCATCTACTTTGTATGTTTACTCTACTGAGTTAGGTATACATTTGCATGAAATTACTGTTTTCTGTATTATTTGTAATTTCAGTAATAGCAAAATACATTTTGTGTCTGTCCCAACCTTTTGGACAACTCTGTTACATCAGTTCAAAAGTCATAAAAGGCATGACAATCTTTAAAGCACTGATTGAAAAAGCATGTGATTTGCTCCGAGTGAAGTCACTACCTCTGGTGGGAAACTCTAGAAGGCATTGAGGCATGTCCTTTTTTCTCTCTCATTAATTAGAACAAAGTGTTTAGGATTACCCAATAGTAGTTTCGTTATTTTTCAACAGTGCTGTAGTAATATTTCAGTAAATTACTCATTAACTTTCTAATTTATATTTACTATATGTATCTCAAAATGGCAGCACGACAGCTAGTGGCTCACGGCTCTTCTTTTACTGTCCTCTTTTTGTTTGTATTAGTATATCTGTTTGCTTGTGCTCAACTCACCTGAACTCATCGCACATGCGTATGTACATCGTATATGTGTACAGGGACAATTAAAAGCATTATAATCTATTCTAGAAAGCAATAATAGGATTGAGCATTTTGAGATAAAACAAAACTGTTGAAGTGTCAACCTTGTTATTGTCAACTCTTTCAGTGATTTGAATTGGTCACCAATAATTTAAACAATACTTAGTAGCAGAAACAAATATTCCCCAACATTTGAACAATAAAATTTAAACATTTTGCATTATTTTACGTTAATAATAAAATCAGTTTACTGCAAATTATACATTTGCTGTACCTCATTCCAGTTTAAAGAAAATGAACGGAAAATGCTTAAAATGTATGTTCAATTGTACCTAGCAATTCTGGAACAAACACACACACACACCTGCTGTTGGCCCCAATGCTGCTTTGGCCCCTGCCAGTGTGAGCAGCCCCCCCTCTCTCAGGTGTTTGGTTGCTAGGTGACTACAAATAGTGGAGGTCCATACACTCTGCTTCCACATCAGATCAGCATTCTTAAACAGAGCTGAGGCACAAAGAACACATTCATACCAAGTCAAAAACTAATATGATCATGTAACTAAAAATGTTCGGTATAAGAATAGAATTAGATATTAGCGCCCCCTTGTGACAATGCAGAGAACCCACAGAAGGGGCATTTTTGACAATGCCACTGTCTTAGATTATGTGTGGCTTAAGTGTTTGAATATATTAGGCGAGTACCAACTTTTGGCCTTAGCGCTGCCCCCTGCCCAACCTCCAGCCACGCAGAAGATAGCGTCAACCTTCTCTTCACCTAACAGATCACCAACATCTGCCGTTACCTGAGGAGAAAAACTAAACAGATTTAAGATAACTGAAAAACAACATACATTTTTTTTTTAAAAAGCTTTAAATTAAAGATGGTGCTTTTGCAAGTTGAAGTAACTATTATAGTTTTTATTAATACTTTAAACATGTTTTATTGTCATCAAAGTAAAAATCAAGTCCTTGCTTAGAAACTTTTTCGCCGCTTTCAATATTAGTTTTTGCTGCTGACTGATAAAGTCTGTCTTGTGATGTCATCTAATATTGTAGCAAGTAACCTGCATTCAAATTAGCATCACTAAAACAGACCACTTCTCAATACTCATTCCTGTTAATGAATACAAATCGTATTAAATCATTTTAAGGATACAACAATATAATTTAATACACAGCAATAGCAATTTTAAAAGTTTAACAATTCAGTCATGAGCAGAAAGAAAATGCACAACATAAAATGTATTTTAGGATATGATATCATAATATGAAACTTAAATAAATCAAATTGATTTCCTCTGTAACAAATAATAGACTGTGAACCCAAAAGGGTCTATTAGATAAAAAATTATATGTATATATTATATTTATAATGGCTAATAATTCTGACTTTAACTAATATAAAATGAACCCGTGGATATATATCCATGCTTTTATGCTAAACAACCAAAATTGATGCAATGAACAAACTTTTTTATGTCAGTTAAACTACCTGGGAATTGAACCCATGACACTGGAATTGCTTAAAATAAGCTTGTTAGATAAATTTATTTGATTGATTTTCATATATTATATTAATACATTATACTTTTAAAGAAACCAAAAGTTAATGTTATACATTTATGCGCTTCTTGATATAATTACATATTCAATTTTAGTTTTTAAAGAGTTAAATTGTTGGAATGTGCTAGTTGCAGGAATAATGTGCTGACAAAAAGTTGAGTATATGATCAATTGAATTCTACCAAACAGATTGTTTTTTTTTTTTTTTTACAAGAATGAAAGACAATGATTCATCATCTGTTTGTATGCCTGTATAAAAACTGGCCCTGTAAGACTGCTCTCTGAGCAACCAGGATGGAACCTGTATTTCTTCTGTATTAGTCCCTTGCTGCAAGAACATCTAGGAAAATGAATCTTCCTGAGCCTTGTAATAATTTTTGACCCTGACAAGCTTGACTGTCATCGGAAATAATTTCCTTCTTACCTGGTTGGCTTGCTCAGTGAAGGACTCAGTCATTTTAACTGTAACATTGGCATTGGCTTCTTCATTGGCACTGAGATCAATAGAGGCAACCCACTGAAAACCACAAACACAAACATGTTCCTTATTGACATATTACAGGCCAGAAGAAATGCATGAATCGATATAGTTAATGAGAAACACATAACATTGTTTTGAGTAAATTAATTATTAATAGTACTACTAAAACACGTGAAGCGTGTCTGATGACACTGAAAGGGGGGGAAATAGTTATTTTCAATAATGTGTCTTGTCTTCTGGGTTTATACAACTTACCCAGTGTTTAGCTTTGAAATACTGCACACATGCCGAGCCCAGAGCTCCTTTTCCCCCGTAAACAATCACTTTCTGTGCATCTGTAGCTGCCATTCTGTCTTCACGAGCACGAGACCGTGTTATGCAAAGAAATCAGAACATGCGCCTCCTACTGGAAAAGATGAGAAGAGCACACATAATTGTATTAGGATGGGTTGCGTATGGGTATAAGCTTAAAATAGACTTACCTTTTTTTAAAAATAATGTTTTTCGAGATTAATGTTTGAAAATAATCCATTAATGCTAATAAATATAAATGGGAACATCGCAACACATGTAAAACGATTTCTGACCAGCAGGTGGCAAAGGTCGTCTTTGCAAACTGCGCGACTACAAACAAAGAAGAAGAACACTTGTCTTCCGGAGGAAATACATGTAGTTGTATAGCATAGCTAGCGTTCTATGACAAGCTTTTCATTTTGCTTTGTCAGTAAGCTGATTGCGTATGATAATTGGAAATAATATTTAACATTCCTCAAAACTCTTTCTCTCGGAGAGAGAAGGCAGTGACAGATTCAGGTAACGTAATGCTCACAGTTTCTTTCTTTGTGGATGTATTGCTTCATGTTTGATGTGTTTAGGATGTTTCCAGTTGATACCATTTGTGATTTTAGACGATTAGTTAAGTTTCTAGGTGTTAGATGTTCACTGTGCAGTTCACTATGGAAGTATTAGCTGTCAATAAGTAGGCTTATAAATCTCAGTATGTTAGACGAGGCTAAACCTCCAACTGACCTCATAGATCTCAACATGAGCAATGTGCTTTAATATCTAAGTTAAATATGAGGAATAAAATTAACATCTGTCTATATGTGTGTCTATAAATGAAACACCAAATGTCCTTAAAATCTTTGAAAAGTGTTACATTTATTAGTGGAGACTGAATTAATAGCAGCCCCTGTTATCTAAACATACATGGGGGGAAAACTGATCACATAATCATTTACTGTAATCTATAGAAGTTAATAATAGTAATGATTAAGAAATATAAGGAACATATCACGTGCTATAGAGGTAAAGTCGGTTTTTTATTCGCACATTCGGACTTCCTCCTTAATATAATTTCATAAAAGTACTATTTGCAAACTCTAAATAGCGAAATCATATTAGCAGCCAATGATTATCAAAGTACATGTTCACAGTCAAATAAACAGTGTTCAAGTTTTCAAATTACACTTGCAGTTTATTTCAGACTGAATATTCAAGGTGCCGTGGTAAACAATGTAGGGAGTGTGTCACAAATTGCCACTGAATGAATGTGTAAATATAAAACCAAGTTTACCTTAATATATATGCTGTGGCTATATAATATGTTCATTTAAAAGTTATTGTTTAATTGAGCACTCATTCGTGGTTTTGTTTTCTTAGGTTTCATCAGTGGTGGAAAGACTACTGAAAAAATATACTCAAGTAAAAGTATCATTACTTGACCAAAGAAATGTAGTGCAAGTAGAGTAAAAATATCTGTTGTAAATATTAAATATGAGTAAAAAGTAGTCCTTTTAAATGTCCTCAAGAGTAGTGAGTATTACGCTGTTAAAAGCTGATGTATTTACCGGTACATGTAATTTGTAAATGTGTGTGTGTGTGTGTGTGAGAAAACATAACATTCTGTAGTGCATTTAGTGACAGTTTAACCAGTTAAATTCCATGGAAAGTGGTTTTGTTTGAAAGTGTAGAAGCTATATTTTATGCACATATGCATCACTTTGGTTTTTATTCTACTGTAAAAAAGTTATTTACACTTAATATCATCTCAAAAACATAGCAAGAATCAGATGCTTTGTTTCTAGTGAAGACTTAGAGAAACTTGTTCATGCTTTTATCAGCAGCAGGGTGGATTACTGTAATGGACTCCTCACTGGTCTTCCTAAAAAGACAGTCAGACAGTTGCAGCTCATCCAGAACGCTGCAGCCAGAATTCTAACCAGAACCAGGAAATCAGAGCACATCACACCTGTCCTCAGGTCTCTACACTGGCTGCCAGTTACATTCAGAATAGAGTTTAAAGTATTATTACTGGTCTATAAATCACTAAATGGCCTAGGACCTAAATACATCACAGATATGCTCACTGAATACAAACCTAACAGATCACTCAGATCATTAGGATCATATAAACTAGAAGTTCCAAGAGTTCAGTCAAAGCAGGGTGAATCGGCTTTTAGCCACTATGCCCCTCGCTGCTGGAATCAGCTTCCAGAAATGATCAGATGTGCTCCAACATTAGGCACATTCAAATCAAGACTGAAAACACATCTGTTTAGCTGTGCCTTTACTGAATGAGCACTGTGCTGCGTCCGACAGATTGCACTGTCGGACACAGATCATGTTTTTCTCTTCTTCTTCATTCTTTTATATCACATTTTACCTGTTTTTATGTTTTTTAATCAGTTTTATTATTTGTTTTTATTTTTATTTTTATTTTACTTGTTTCTTTTATTCTTGTTTATGTAAAGCACTTTGAATTGCCATTGTGTATGAAATGTGCTATATAAATAAACTTGCCTTGCCTTAAACATTGGTTCAATTTCATATTTTTCACAAGATTCATATATGACACAGGTACAAGTTATAGCTCAAATTAAATCTCTTGTCCGTGCTCATGAGGTTATAGCGTTCTTTTTAGTGAATTATATTCACATCAAACAGTTTTCGAATAAATCGCGGTATTTCCATGGCCCAGAAGTGAAAACAATACATTCATGATCAATAAGCAGCTCCAGATAGCACAGACAGCGGTCATCTCTTACCTTATGCTTTTTAGGGCCTTTCTCCTCTGTTTTTGAGGTGATGTGCATAAGTAATCCTTTTATATGTCCGACGTGGTCCAAACACAGTGAATTATGTTTGATCAAACAGAAGAATAGAGAAATATGAATACAATGATCGATCCCTGTGGCTTGTATAGCACCTCTCATCAGTTGGAATACAATAACTTTTTCATAGATTATGGTAAAGAGAGACATTTTTCTTTTTTTCCATGATTACAGACATGTGCAGGAACCACCAAAATTAATTTACTGCAACCTAGACCACACAGAACCTAAAAGGTACACTTTCAAATTTGAGTTTATAAAAAAAATACAAAAAGCAAATTTTTTTTTTTTTTTAGGTGTTTATTATAACACAGAAAACATTTATTACAGTTATTTTAAACACTTTTAAAGTGTTTCCTTTAAAATGACACCAAATTTTTGCATTTACACCTCTGCATGTGGATTTGGGTAGCTTTTAAATTTGGGTAGGCAAAATCCAGGCAGAAATCCCAAAATAGCACTGGAGTTTAAGTGGTTAAGGCCATTTCAGTCATCATGCATTCGGCATCTGTCATCATCTCATCAGTGACATGCAGTCTAAATATGCAGTCTCTGGGTCATTGCATGCAGAGTATATTCTTGGACACTTTTAATGCTTCTAAACAGTTTGCTTCATGTCTTGAGGTAGTTCAGTATGCATTAGACATTAATCACACTGCTAATTTTTCTAATCTCCATAGACAGGAAATAATAAAGTAGTTATTGCAGCTTGAAGAAAAGTAGTGGAGTTAAAATACCAATACAGCGCTAAAAATGTACTCAAGGAAAAGTAAAAGTTCACATTTTTAAAACTAATAAGTTAATTACAATTTCTTAAAAAAACTACTCAATTGCAGTAATTTGAGTATTGGTAATTTGTCACTATAAACCACTGGGTTTCAATAGTTCATGAATTTATCCTTTTGGTTTTCATCATGCTAGACAAACAAGCTAAGCCTGTCATAAGATATATGTGGTATAGCAGATCCTTGATTGTTTTTAATACATTGTCAGCATCATTTATGAGCAATTTCAGCGTTTTGGATCTGACATTTGCAGTAAAACACTCAAAACATACATTCACGTGGAAGGTATATGTTACCATTATATCGAAACATCCGTTTATATTTTCCAGAACAACTGACCACAGAGTTATGAAAGCAGAAAAATATCAATCTGTAAACACGTTTTGTACTTTAAATGAAGAAAATAAACGGGTTATGGATGTGACCAAAAAAGTCTGTACAGTATACAACATACTTTAGAAATTCTGTGAATTAAACTGCACAACCCAAAACAAATAATGATAATCAAAAGAATAAGAGTTGGCTCTCTGTAGAATAAAAATGAGAGATTTTAGTTTATTTAATATTTTCACATTTATGAGGAAAAAGTGTCGATATGGATGTGACATTTCTCCGTTTTAGATGAGACAGATTTGAAATTGCCACTTGTGTGACTTTGATAAATCAAATAAAATAGTTTGTAAACATTGACAGATACATTTTTGAGTTTTTCTAAAGTACTGTAAAATACTTGCTGGCACAAAAAGCTTAGAAATGTTTTCAGTATTTTGGTGAAAACTTAATTTAATTCAGGGTTGACAGTTGCATGGAATTGCTAGCATGGACTAAAATAGATATCAATTTGTATAGAGTAGTCAACATTTGAATTGTATCAAGAATGTTTTTCACAGACAAGAAAGGTCTAATTCAGTAGTTTTAGGACAATTTGTATGAAAGGTTTGGATTCGCTTCACTTGGATTTGTACTGTTGACTACGTTTAACAGTCAGACTATGTGTTTATGATTTTAACTATGTGTTATGATGTGTGCAGGATGGATCCAGCTCTGCTGAGAGAGCGAGAGCTCTTTAAAAAGAGAGCTTTGTCAACTCCTGCAGTAGAGAAAAGACCAGCAGCCTCTGAGGCCTCTGGATCCTCCAAGAAGAAAAAGAGCAAACCAGACAAAGAGTCGTCATCTTCCTCCAAAAACAACAGTGGTAAGTGAATATGTGGGTGTTTATTAAATCTTTAGAATCAACTCACTTCTCACAAAGTGCTTGGGCATAACTTTTTCTGTTTCATTAAAAAGTGCACTACTTTGTAATACTAATGTGCAAAAAAATCTGTTGTTTTATTTAACAGAATTATTATTGAGGTAATGTTGGTTTTATAATCGAACATTTCTTCAGTGACCACTTTGAATATTTGGTCTGAAATCGCATTTACGTATGATTTCAAAACAACATTAGCAGTATTTAAATGACTCTGAACAATTTTGTACTGTAATAGCCATTGTATGCTAATAAGATTTCCCTATTTAGAATTTGCAAAGAATACTTGTCTGAAACTATATTAAGGAGAAAGTCAGAATTTGCGAATTTAAAATCTTTACCCAAACAGAATTATTGCTTTTATTCAAATGCAGTCAGATATTGGATGTGTTTTTACTGTAATGATTTGTAATCACAAAACAACCACAAAACATTTCTATTTCAAATAAATGCAAACTTTCTGTTAAAAAAAATCTCTGGACAAGAAAATACGCATATGATAACGATTTACAATTTTTTAACATTATAAATTTATGATGAAAAAAGGCTATTCATTTGAACTTTTTTTGATTAAAGAATCCTAAAAGTGAGTTGTATCACAGTCAAATCTTGTCAGCACTGATAATTATAAGAATCATTATAATTGACTATAGTAGGACAACAAATCATTATATTATAATGATTTCTGAAAATGATAGCTCAAGTAATGATGATGAAAATTCAGTTTTTAATCACAAGAATAAATAAAATTTGAACCTACATTCAATAAGGAAATTATTGTTTACATTTAAAAATATTTGTTTACAGAAGACACAGGAAATGCTTAAATATTATTTACAGGATATACAAGAGTTACTTTATTTAGAAGAGATACTGCTTATTTTCTACTTTCAATATGAAAAACACTAAAAAACGTTTATTTTGTTTTCAAAAGTGAAAGTTATTTATTCGTGACTGTTGGTTTCAGGCATGTGTGTCTTAATTTAAGTTGTTCAATGTTGATGTTCAATTAGTAGTCATAGATAGTTTGTGTTTCCTTCAATTATTTTTAAATCATCAAGTGATGCACCCTTCATTCACAAATCTCTCACTTGTAATATGTGAGCATATTTACTGTACAAAACTTATCAGTGAACTATGAGGGCAAAAAAAATAAAAATAAATAAATAAAATAATCATTCATTAATCCAAATAGAGTTCAAATGTTCAATTTATCAAGATTTAAATTTTAGGCCAAATCACCCAGCCCTAATATTATGCAGGCGTATATCAGATAGATTATTGATTATTGGATTATTGATCACTCTGGCTCTCAAGATGAGTTGTCCAGAAATAATGTCATGCTTCATTTTCTTGAGTGAGGTTCAGCAGCTGCACTGCTTAATAGAGTTCAGTCTAGTTACTGTATATAATAGGAAGAACAGTGTTCAAGGACAGACCTTTATAATTTTATTGAACATTAAAACTTTTTTTAAATGTAATTTCATCAGCTTGTAATATCTTCTGTAACCTTATTGGGAACCACACATTTCTTGTGCTTGCATGATTTTTTATTATGTAATTTTAAATACACAATTTTAAGGCATTCACAAAGATGCAATAATAGGCCTTTAGTGTGCTTCTTTATATAGAACTATTTTAATACATAAGTATTCACCTATAATAAATCTGAACATAAACAAATAGAAACATTCTTTTCAATCCAGCTGTATATTTGCATCAGGTAGTCAAACCATACTGTATTTAGCTTAGGAATTCCACAATACTGATATGTAAACTGTTTTGTCATCCCACTCAATGGGATAAATTCATGTAAACACGTCTAAAAAGAAACAAAAATCAACCGTTTTATAGAGTCATCACACAGTAGCATTGGAATACTCAGACTCTATGCGGTGAAAACATTGATGTACACTCACAAGCAGATTTTTAGCCTCCATTTCTAATGCAAATCTCATCTAATATTTGAAGCCGTCGAGACACCTGTGTCGTGTATTGCCATTGGATCTAGTGGGAGTAGAATGCTTCTGTCTCTGTACATAACTGGCGTGTTTTAAGGGGCTCCGATCTGACGAAGTGCCTTTTCCACCAGTCTACTGTTTTGGTTCCTATGGAGACCTTGTCACCATGGCTACAACTAAACCACCTCGTCGTGCTGTCGGCGCAGGTCACGAACGGTTTTGGTTTTGTTGAAGCATCCACAGTCCAGCAGCTCATAGAGGAACGCCAGTGTGGCGAGGGAGAGGATGGTGAGGATGAAGAGCAGGATGATGATGAAGCAGGCCACGTTCCAGCCATCATGGAAGGGATAGATCTGCTGCATCAGAGCCGAACTGCTGGACATGTTCATACTGTGGAGAGAAAGATAAAAGCAGTCAGATATTAGAGAGGAAGGATGGAAAAATAAAGTGTGGGTACAAATAGAAAGGAAGAGAAAGAGTGATTGACAGATTGAATGGCAATTTCTACATGCTAATTTGTGTGTGTTTTTTCAGTTTTGATGGAAAAGAGGATACATTAGAGCACACTGAAAGCCACGGCTTGTATTTTTGTACTGTGTTTTAGCTGTCAGTGAGACATTTTTGGCTTTTACATTGCAAATAACTGTTTTTGAGCATCTCACAGCTTAAGTGTAGGGTTTGCAATGCACCAAATTAAATTAAACCTCGTTCAACTGTAATTTGATGCATTTCTGTCCTCCTTCTGTTACACTGCATCTTCCAATTTTTAAACATAGTCTTGCAATAATTAGAAAACACACAATTAAGATCAAGTTTAACCAAAACCAGAATAATTGTAAAGCATTTTTATAATATTGATTATTTTACTTGTTTTTAGGTCTTTTGTTTTAGCTTATTAGTCTCTTTTAAAAACATGTACATTTGATAGTAGAAAGTAATTGGTGCATATTGCTGTTGCATTAGATTCTTGTAAACAGGCTAAAATAACAATTCTTTTTTTATTTATCAGTTTTAGTTACTTTTAGGTTCCTTATATATTAGTCAGAATTATTAGATATCCTCTTATTTCTTTTATTTTGGCAAGAATAAAAGCAGATAAAATAAAAATAAATTTTTAAGGTTGGAATTATTAACCCCCTCAAGCTATATTTATTTTACAGAACAAACCATTGTTATACAATAACTTGCCTAATTATCCTAACCTACCTAATTAACCTAGTTAAGCCTTTAAATTTCACTTTAAGCTGTATAGAAGTGTCTTGAAAAATATCTAGTCAAATATTATTTACTGTCATCATGGCAAATAAATTAAGTTATTATAAATGAGTTATTAAAACTATTAAATTAGAAATAAGTTAATTTAATTATTCATTCATTCATTTATTCATTCATTCATTCATTTTCATTCAGCTTAGTCCCTTTTTTCATCAGTGACCGCCACAGCAGAATGAACCTCCAACTTGTCCAGCATATGTTTTACTCAGCGGATGCCCTTCCAGTACTGGGAAACACCAATACACTCGCATACACACACATACACTATGGTCAATTTAGTTTATTCAGCTCACCTATAGTGCATGCAGGGAAACCGGAGCACCCAGAGGAAACCCACGTCAACACGGGGAGAACATATGAACTCCACACAGAAATGGCAACTGGCCAAGCTTGGACTCGAACCAGCAACCTTATTGCTGTAAGGCGCCAGTGCTAACCATTGAGCCACTATGTCGCCCAGCATTTCAGACACCAAAATTGTAATTTCTTCTGGTCAGCTTGCTACAACAACACATGGTGGAATATTTAGTTGTAGCTGCTCAAATACTCTGGACCAGAAATGTGAATCAAATAATCTGATCAAATGCATATTTAAATACCTCTGGAAGTGGTCAAATAGGAACAAGCTTAATACATTTTAGACACGGATTATGACTTAATTTAACATCACTACTTGCTATTAGATCAACAGAAGCACACATCAATGTCAGATGTAAACAAGACCTTTTCCATGTGCTTGGGACAGACTAATCCTAATCTAGCAGGACAAATAGTATGCACACAAGAGAATTCAACTGAGATGAATCAGCTGACCTAGTTAGGTTGAGTGGAGATTCTGTGTGTTATGTAGGTTTAGAACAGACTGGAAGCTGAAGCATGACACATTGTGTTACATAGCTTCAGGCGTTCATTTCCAACATCTCTCTGATAATTTCATTATGTATATTTAATGCTTAACGTTCACTTCAATGATCTTTCAAAGGTTTACACATGTCAGCAAAGCAGGGTCTGTACACATCAGGAATGCATTTGTAGATGCAGCAATTAGGTTAACTGTAACGTGAGCCTAGTGAAAGCATTTCTCACGCGTGTCTGATTGTGCACAAACGCTTATGCAGGAATACACTTTCACTTTCAATCCAGCCATGACTCCCAGAAGGTAGCCCAAATGAGATTTAGGCTTATTTTGTAATTCACTTGATGCTGCTGCTTCATGTTTATTTTTATTCACATGTAGACCTGGTCTAGTGACCTTAGTTTAACTCTTGTAGACAACGGACTGAATCTCATCTGAAATGGACAGATGGACTCTGCCTGTCCTGGTCTCCAGAGACCCCTCCCCAAACATCTTGTAGCTAATTTTCCTTTCAAGCCTTTTTCTAATATTGGTCCTCTTCTTAAAACAGTAGCTACTAATAGACTAAATTTTCTCATTCCATTTAGTAATCTATCTGTCTATCGGTATGATGGTCTAATGATCTAGAATTGCACAGTCAGCTTCAAACTGTCTGGATCTGCCATATGTGCTTGTCTAAGTATCTGAGCAGGTATGCTTGTGACCAAGAGCTTTTATTTGAGTTAGCTTTTATATTTATGACACATTTTGTGCATTTATTATTTATCAACATTTCTATAGTGTCGCTGAATGCTTTGGTTAGGTATACTATCAGTATGAAGAGTGAATTACTAAGGAATTCTTTGAAATATATAGGAAAGTGAGGTGGTTATATGTTAGTTTGTGAGTATTTTAGTATAAGTTGCATTGCGTTGTGTGATATAAAAGCAGGACGTACCTGGGTTTAAGTGTCTGGGATGCAGGGTGATGGAGCAGCCTCTTGTTTCTCTCTGTGTTGTCTTTCTCAATGCTCACGCACTCCCTCCCTCTCTCTCTCTCTCTCTCTCTCTCACTGCCCCACCTTAATCTATAACTGTGTATTACACCGGTCGTGCTGAGTCTCTGCTTTGACGCCACTGGGTGACTGGTCTGTCTTTCAAAGCATCAGCCATCCAACCAACTGCAATGCGCCTGCTGTAAGCATTAGTACCTGCCCACTCTATGAATCATTCATGAGTCAGTGCCAAGATGCGGCTGAGACTGGCTGTGCTCCAGTTGCCAAGGGTTGAGAGCAGGCTGTGGAAGAGGAAGAGCATGAAATGCTAAAGCTATATGCGATGTAGAAAAATAAATCTTTACTGTTATAAGGAGCTTGAGATTGAGTAAACTGGTTAATAAGAGGATGAGTACTGAAAATGACATCAAATGATGACATCATTGTAATGTCTAGTTACGCCATGGATTCAATGCTCAGACTTCCTCATTTCAGAGCTTAAAAATGAAGGATTGCAAAGCATGAATAATTTGTGCATAGCAGTATATGTGCACTTAATTTTTATGTAATTTTTTTGTTTTAATTGATTTAACCTTTTTTCAATCTAAGTAAATATTATAAGGCTGGAATGGACTTCACTGCCTGTGACTTAAGACAATAGTCTTTTTAGATATGTTATGTTCATGAAATTGAGTTAAAAAAAAATAATTAATCTCCCCAAACAACAAATTGGAGAAAGGTTATACAAGGTAGGGTGTTGTTATAATGGCATTGACAAACTTGGTTGGTAAAAAAGGTGCACAACCAATAGCAACCAACAAACAGTATCTGAAATTTTCACAAGCGTAAAAGTGAAAGATTTAAGCAGTGTACTGATGCTGTGACATGTTACTTGATAGATTCACAAGACAGAAGAGTCATTATATAGAGACACGATTAATTAAAATTGGACTTTTGTGCTCAAAGCACCCGCAACTGCCTGGAGCTCATACGTGAGCATATGCTGCAGCACATGACAGCATGTGTGTGTTTTTTTGTGTGTGTGTGGTAATGTGATGTGTGCTTTCAGTGGTATAGTGTTTTTAGGAAATGCTAGATGAAACTTCAGTGTGGATGTGGATCGTTTTTGTTAAAAAATATAATTTTGAAACTAAGACGTATTAGTGTAAAAAGGGCCGTGTGTATTTTTTGCAAGGTGGTTGCTGCTGCGATGGGGGCAGGGCCGAGGATCGCGATGCTGGCTAAGCATCGTGATGTCTATCGGCCATCAGCGATAAAGGATGGCATCGTCTATTGACCCAACCCTAATTCGAGGTCTGCACTCTACTGTTCTGTAAAATTGTGAAAGTATTAAAAATAAATAAATTAATAACCTCACAAATACAACCTAAGTTTAGAATATGGAACTTAAATTGAACTTTGTTAGAATTGTACACTCTGCATCATCCACAACAACCAAAAAGTGCTCTTTTTTTAATAATATACGAAAACTAATAGTATTTAGTCACTTTACAGTTAGTTAATGATATGTAATGCATCTATCTACTATCATATTTAAAGAATAAACAGTGCTTGTACAGCATTTATAAAGTTAAGTTGTGCTTGTTAATTAACATTAGTTATTGCACTAGACTAGTTAACAAGAACTAACAATGAACAACTGTAATTTCGTTAATGCTTACAAAGATGAATAAATACTGTAATTTTGTTCATGTTTGTAAAAATAACATTAACAAATGGAGCTTTGTTGTAAAATTTAGCCATAACACATAATGATAATACATGACGATAATAATACATAATCATTCATGAATAATACATGACTTTTATATGTGTCTGAAATTGCCTGCAACTGCTGCTTTGTTGTTGCATCGTGACAAGGCATGCATGCAGATGATGTGGTGTATAAACGAGCACACCAGAATGTACGCTTTAGAGGAAATGTGTAGAAGGCTAGAAGATTTGGAGAGTCGAAATATAAATGAGCCTTAAAACCTATCAATATTTTAAGCAAATTATGAATTTAGCATATTCTTTTTGATCGATTTCTTGATTAATTTACATGCATTGTTACATCATTCATTCATTCATTTTCTTATCTGCTTAGTCCCTTTATTAATCTGGGGTTGCTACAGCGGAATTAATCGTCAACTTATCCAGAACATGTTTTACGGAGCGGATGCCCTTCCAGCTGCAATCAATCACTATGAAACACATACACACTTATTCGCACACATACATACACTTTGGACAATTTAGCTTACCCAATTCACCGGTACCGCATATCTTTGTACTGTGGGGGAAACCAGAGCACCTGGAGGAAACCACACAAAAACAAGGAGAACATGCAAACTCCACACAGAATTGCCAACTGACCCAGCCAAGGCTCGAACCAGCGACCTTCTTGCTGTGAGGCGACAGCACTACCTACTGTGCCACTGCGTCGCCTTGTATTGTTACATCCATAATAGATTTATATTAACCTAGAAAAATGGTAATTAATTAATAATAAATTATAAAAGCACAGCCATGTTATTGTCAAATATATTTTATCATTTTTATTTAACAAAATAACAATAATATTGTGATGGAGTTCAAGAGGACTGGTTAAAGTAATTCCATGTTAACTGCCTTTTAGATTCAGCACTTAGTCTTTATGGTCTCTTATCTCTTCTTGTCTTTTTACCTTTAATCTTTCAGATCCCAGCAATGGCTCATTCAATCTCAAAGCACTTTCTGGAAGTTCAGGATACAAATTTGGTGTTTTGGCTCGAATTGTCAACTACATGAAGGTAATACAAACAATGTACATATTTTCTGGCATTTCAGCAAGCAAAGATTTGCTGTGGTGTTTGTCATTTATGTTGTTTTTTTGCTAGGTTTTGATTGTTTTCCTTCGCTCATAAATGCAGATTTGTATTTGAGTAGACAATGTTTTATTTTACTTAAAAAAAAATAAAATGAAAAAATGTTTCTGCAACACAGAATACAATTTCCAGAGAAAGACCCAAGGGAATGAAATTATCATGAGCTGAGCAATCCTCACTGTCAATAAAACATATGCTCCTTCCTTAAAATATCATGGGAAATATTATATAATATCTCTGAGCACATCTATTGGCAGTCACAGCAATCCTGTGATCTGTCATGAGTTTTTTTTTTAATTTCTAAAGGTTTACATGTTGTGTGCTTGGAAAAACAGTACCTCTCCTTGCTCTCTGAACTTGCTCTCTGTTTTTTTCCTAACTATATAAATATTCTGTGAAAATTCACACTACTAAAACACATCGTCATTTTACACTTGTTTAATATTATCGTAAGCAGGGTGTCTGTCTTTTTTTGTGTGTGTCAGGCTTGGCAGTTCCTCAGTATAATGAAGTACTCTTTCTAACATGACAGTAATTAAAGGCTGTCAAGCTGTAATCCACAGTTGTAGATCTAGATGTGACACATCTTTGTCTTTCTCTCTCAGACGAGGCACCAGCGAGGTGATACTCATCCTCTGACTTTAGAGGAAATTCTGGATGAGACCAAGCTACTGGACATTGGCATGAAGCAGAAACAATGGCTGATGAGTGAGGTGTGTGCGTGCGCAGAAACATAGCATTCAATTTAATAGTAACTTTGTTTAGGTTAGTCATGTGCATAAAACCTACCCAAACCATCTTCATTTGAAGTTTCCGCACGGCTTTTCATCACTCTCAGCAAGTGTTAGTGGTGTGCTTTGATTATCCTCTTTGATAATGTCATAATTGTTGCTTTAGTGCTGTATGAGCCTATATTTAGCAATGCAAATTCAAACAAACATGATTATTGAGTTGAAAAGCTATTAGAATGCTTATATTAATTGTCTGTATTACATTTATGAAACAAAAAAAACTTATGATTTTTAGAAGAAATGATGGAGGTAAGTAATATCACGCTTTTTATTTGCAAACTATCAGCATGTGAGTTAGATAACTGGTGTATTTATTTTATGAAGTTCAACAAAATAATCATTAATAATATAATTATTATCAAAGTCAGGGGTGCCTCATCTCGCAGACAAAAGAGAGAAGTGGGGGTAATACATTTTTAGATGCAATGTTGTATTTTTTCTTGTCTCCAACAAAAATAGTTCCAAATAAAGCTGCGTCTGCTACATTTTTTGCATCCCAGAGCTACGCTGAAGTGATTTTCTGAATAAATGAGCTTTTAAATAAATCGATTGAGCCAGTGATTCAAATGTCTTTAAGACGGTCACTCTTTCGTTTTTAAATAGATCAGGTGCATTTAATAGGATAGTTCACACTACTTAAAATTGTTATTATTTACTTGCGTTTCTGCAGTAAACACATAAGAAGATATTCTGAAGAAAGCTGGATACCGGGAACCATTGACCTCCATACTATTTGTTTAACCTAATATGAAAGTCGGTGGTTACAGCTTTTCAGCTTTCTTCAAATGACCTTTTTTTGTGTTGAAAAGAATAAAGGAAATCATAAAGGGTTAGAACCACTTGAGGGTTACAGTGAGTATGTTTTCATTTTTAGTCAACTGTTCCTTTAAATAAATTGTTTGAATTGATAATTTTGCATATAGCCTATTAAGATAGTGTCGCGGCAAAATCCCCTCCATAGTTACAATTACATTACATTACAGGGACTTGCCACCTTGGTGGCTTTACTGTCATATTGATTTATCCAGGGTTCCGATCCTTCTTGAAAATACTTGAACTTACTTGAATTTCATACATATGGATTCAAGTTCTGGTAAGTGCTTAAAAGCAAACATATGTTCTTGAAGGTACTTTAATTTAATTTGAAATATAGTTTGATTATGGTTTTTATTTCAACAAATGTACTTAATTGTCAAAGATAGAACTAAAAAACTTAAAATAGAACTTAAAAACCTTAATTTAAAATTTTGTAAAATAAGATTTGACAAATAAATCGTTTTTTCATCAATATTTCAGAAACCACATTGGAATATTACCAGTGTTGAATTGAACAAATGTTATTAAAGTATTTTGAACATTACTTTTTTTTTTCTTTGACATTTATAACGTAAATATAAAGTGTAAGTGAAATGTTAAGTACAGGGGTCTGTTCTTCCTAGGTGGATTACTCAGTTAGCTGGATTTGGACATTGATGATTTGACATGATCCAGGATCGTTTAGTTCTTTAAAACTTATCTAAGAGTTGTTGTCATAGCAACAGTTGTGGTAGCTCAAACCTGGTCGGGAGCAGGCTCATTCATGTAAACAGGATTACATCGGGTCATTTCAAGATAATACTTACTGAAAGTATGGACCAAATGCTGATGTTTTCTTACAGTAGTTATATACACTTGGCAAAATAGTAAATATAATTTATATATATATATATATATATATATATATATATATATATATATATATATATATATATATATATATATATATATATATATATATATAAAGCAAAAAAATATATATTAACAAAACTTATGCAATCTGCACTCCGAAATAAAGTACAAAGCCTGCCAGGTTCAAAGAGAAAATGTATTGATTTGGACTTTTTAGTTACAAACGCATACATGCACAATATTCAACTTTTTAAAAAACGGATAATAATTTATGCAGTCATGCATGTGTTTTGGCCGCTAATAAACCAGTGATTTGATGCTTCGCAAAAGTTGCAGACACCTTTACCGATACAAAAATGCTTTTTTGATGCAAATTTAATTTATACAGTTATTCCTTATGCCGATTAAAAAAAAACTTGAGTAGGCCTAGGCTACTATAAAAAATAAAATCTTCTCTAAATGTAGAACTAAATACATTGATACCCATTGAAATACATAATGAATACTCCTGACTAGGGATGGGAAGATTAACCGATATGTATCAATACGCGGTCATGCGCGTGCACAATGCGAGTGCATCGGTAGAGCAGCAGAGGATGTATGAAATTTGGAAGCAAATCGAGATGCATCGGTTTTTGCGAGATGCATCGGTTTTTCCAAGATACAACTTGTCTTTTTAATGTAGAATGTGTTTTTTGTTTATTAACAAGTGTTGTCAACCTGTTTTGGCACATAATTTAATCGACCTACATAAAGTATGCCTTAGCAACGGACTTGCAGATGTGTACACTTACACTACAGCTCTAAGCTAAACAAACATGTTGGACGCCGAGACAATTTATTCTCCCCACTGAGTTTTAAATCTAAAGTATGGCAACATTATGGATCTTACAAAAAAGATGGATGACTTGACAAGACAGATGCAATTTGCAAAATGTGCTGCTCATCTGTAAAATACACGGGCAGTACGACTAATCTGATATCTCACTTGAAGCAGTGCCACGGTGTTGTTGTGGAAGTATCTTCTAGTGTTCCTGCATCCCCTGCTTCCTGCTGTGATTCACCTGTAGCTACCAGCTCCAAAAGTGGTGAGAAAAACATTGAAAGTTTTTTTCTATGCCCCGGTTGCTAACAGTTCCGCGTGCTCTATGGCAATAACGGATGCTATTGCATTGTTCATCTGCAAAGACATTCAGCCTTACAGTGTCACGGAGAACGAAAGTTTTAAACACCTCCTCCTTTTAATTTTTATTTAATTTTATTTTTATTACCCTGTTGTTTACATTGACATTCATGTTTCAAAGCAGCATAACACTGCTAGTTCACGACCTTAAGTTTTGAATATTAAGTGGAAAAAATTGTCTTTGTTAAACTTGTTTTCATAGTTGAAAAGTTAAATCACAATTCGTGTTGTGCAATGGTAAACCTTTATGTTGAAAGAGTGCAAATATATATATATATATATATATATATATATATATATATATATATATATATATATATATATATATATGTGTATATGTATATATATATATATGTGTATATGTATTGCACTTATACATTCTGTTTATCTTGGAAATACTTAAATAATATGTTCCATATGTTCTAAAATGGCCCTCTACTGTAAACCGACACTCGGGCTCTGAGAGAAAAGCCAGTTTGTAAAAAAAGTCTTGGTTTTATTGGTTAATAAATAATTAAAGTCATTCAATGGCACAGCATCCTCTTTCACATCATCACATAAACTTGATCTAATTAATTACTGCTGAATTATCACATTGTATTGTGATATGGGTGTGAATCGTATCGTATTGCATCACAATATGTCACAAATTTATCGTTAATGTATCGGATCGTATTCTTTGTATCGAGATGCGTATCGGATCGGCATTATAGCTTAGATGCCCAACCCTACTCCTGATACATGAAAGTGTAAAGCCTGCAGCTTATAACAAATGTGGAAAGTAATTTGCGCATCATATTTAACAAACCGTTTACTGCTAATTTGATGTCATTTTACTCAAATGGATAATTAGATGATTTCATTACGCTGCTGTGCTGTCAGCCAATTGTTGCATTGCTGATCATGATTTCAGGAATCGATAGATCTGTCCTTAACAACACACGCAGCGATCTCAGATCAGTTCATCCAGACATTTTAATCTGATTTGCGAACTTGTTTGAAGAACCAAATTAGCCAGAGATCAGTTATCAAGATTAAAAGATCCAGGATCTGCCAAATCATCTTAGATCATTTAAGCGAGGTACAAAGAACAGACCCTAGGACTTTCATGGCACTACAAATACTGGGGTATGAATTACAAGTGTTCTTTATCAAAATAAGGGTGCTTTAAAAAGTCATTGAAAGTCTTTGAATCTGCAGTTAATGAAAGTGTGGGAACCCTGTTTATTATTTTATCTATGATAGGCCTTAACAGCATAACAACAAACTCAACAAAATATTTTAAATTATTATTGTTCAAAATACAAAAAAATCCCTAAAAAATTAATATTTATATTTTTCTGTGTTCATAACGCACACCACTAGCAAACATACAGCTGTCTGTAAAAACATCTGACTTTACAGATATTGCTGTATGTAAAATTGAAAATGTATGTAAATTTTTTTTTCTTTTAAAATATATTTATAAGGCCACAAAGAGTATGGGATAGCTATGTTCCTGTGGTTTTAAATTATTATTTTTATGTTTATGTTTTTTTATTCCAGAATATTATTATAATTATATAATACTTGGATTTATATGCTGCAGAATACTTTTATTGACCAATGTTCCAACAAGCAATGTAATGACACGCAATATATGTTTTCAAGGGCAAGATCGACATTCGAACAAGAATTCAGCATGTAACCTTTCCCTCTCTCCTTCCCTCCAGGCATTAGCAAGTAATCCTAAGATTGATGTGCGGGAAGGGAAATATGCCTTTAAACCCAAGTATCATCTGAAGGATAAGAAAGCTCTGCTTAGACTTCTGGACAAACACGATCAGCTTGGTCTCGGAGGAGTGTTACTGGATGATGTTGAAGAGGGGCTACCCAATGCAGCCAAGGCTATTAAAGTAATACACCATCATGCTGTCACTCATTAGTAACAAAACAAAAAAAAACATTTACTAAACCGTACATTTAAAGGGGACCTGATATGCCCCTTTTTACAAGATATAAAAGAAGTCTCTGATGTCCCTAGAGTGTATATGCAAAGTTTTGGCATCTTATAACCCATGAATAATTTTTTTAGTTCTTTGAAACTGCTCCTTTTAGCCTTTGATCCAAACAGTGCTTTTATGGTGACTGTCTCTTTAAAATCAAATGAGTATGTACTCCCAGCCCTCCTTTCAAAAGAGTGCAGAGCTACAGACAACCATCACCATTCCATCATTAGTGACTGCATCTCACTTAAAACTGTTTATGCTAATAATGGAGAGATTGTCACTAATGGGCGGGGCTTTCCCCCTCTGATGTACAAAGGAAGAATGTCAGACAGTGTTTCTGCAGACTGCTTTTATGAAGTGTGATTAAAATGAAATTAATTAATGATTTTGTACAGTTGAAATCTGGCTATATTCCCACCTTGTTTCCACACAATTTTGTTTAACTCCTTATAAAAGTGATTTTTGCGCATTAGGTCCTCTTTAAAGAGCCCCTATTATGGGTTTTTGACAATGACCTTCCATGTAGTGTGTAACACAGCTCTAAGTGAAGTGAAATATCCAGTTATGGCTTAAATCTGAAAGTGCTCCGTGTTTAAAACAATTGATGCATTTATAAAAGAGTCGATACGAGACTTATGCCCCGCCCAATTATTGCATGCGCAAACCCAGGAACATTTAATGTAAATTTGACCCTTTTTAATGTGTAGTAGAGGCTCTTTAAATTACCAAGTACACAAAAAAGGGCTCTGAGCCCAGGAAAACTATAGATTTTTTTGATACCAAAAGTCTTTGAAATATTAAGATCATGTTTCATGAAGACATTTTGTCTACTGTAAATGTAAAAGTACCCTACTGTAAATGATTAGTAATTTGCAAAACTAAGACTTGAATTTGGATCATGTTAGAGTGGTTTTGTAGTCCAGGATCATGCATGTATTGTAGTATATATTTATTTATGTATATACACAAAAGTTGGTTCTGTCAACAAGAATGGTGTGAAGTAGCCTTTTTTTTGCTTTGGCTATAATTATTAGAAATATAAATAATACAGCTAAACTGTATTGTAATTATTGAAAAAATATTGCCATCTTAAGTGACCACTTGTAGTCACGGACCACTAAAAGACACAATAATACCATGTGGAAACCTGATCCATACCCTTTTATTTATTTGTTCAGGTAATTTTCTTTTTTTTTCAGCATTAGAAAACAACATAAATGTCATTCACTTTGACAGTAGTTTATATAATCATTTCAAAAAGAATGATTTCATGACATTAAATTAGGATCACATTGCAGCTCTAAAAAGCTTATTAATTGTGAATTTAATTAATTGTGATGTATATACACCTTGTTTAAAATGAAAATAACAAGGCTTTGATTGCAAAAAATACAGTTATTTATTTTAATTTGTTCATTTTTTTTAGAAACTCTCATAAATGTCATTCAGTGTAACATGTTTATATACTAAAAAAACCTTTTCATCAAGAATAATTCCTGCACATATTAAATTAGGATCTGATTGCAGCCACATTAGTAGAAATGCTAATCAATTGACATTTTAGATATTTTTATATATCATAAATGTTTGAGATGGAAACACAAGGCTTTAATAGCATGAAATACTCTAATTTGTTTTAATTGGTTTTGTTCAGGCGCTCGGGGATCAGATTATATTTGTGACTAGACCAGATAAGAAGAAGATTCTATTCTACAATGACAAGCACTGTCAGTTTGTCGTGGATGAAGGTATGTGACTCTCATCACAATTCAAAGCTGGTTCATTTTTGTCCATTACTGTTTGTTGAAAGAAGAGTTCCTGCGATGTTCTGTTGGGATATCAGTGTCTTTTTATTTTCCAGAGTTTCAGAAGCTGTGGCGGAGTGTTCCTGTTGATTCCATAGATGAGGAGAAGATCGAAGAGTACCTGAAGAAACAGGGCATCTCATCAATGCAGGAGACTGGACCAAAGAAAATGGTACGATTTGTCTCTCAAACACATAGAAATCAACATTTACACACAGAAAATCAAACACACTCTTCAGACTGGCTATTACGTGCATGTTTGTGTGAGGTTGATGTGATTTGTGATTGGCTGTCACAGACACCAATTCAGAAGAGGAAGAAACCTGGAACCCAGAGAAAGAGACGCTATAAGACTCACAATGACCATCTGAATGGAGTGCTGGAGGACTACTTCGATGGAGTTCCCTCAAAGAAGTGACACACACAGCTGTAAAAAGCTCAGAGTGATGAGACTGATATCTGTGATGTTTGTATATCTGTTCTGATAACGTCTTATTGTCAACCATAAAGATATGCAGACATACACATACACAACTTTAGAACTGTTCTGAGTTGGCACAAATGTGAACAGACTGTAAATATTTCCTTTCCAACATTACGTTTTACTTTTTGCTAGTGCTTTAAAAATGGACTTTTGAGCTCTTCTTTTTTTAGGTTTAAAGATTAAACAAGAGCAATCAAACCACATCTGTTGTTTCTTTTTTGAGTTTATTAATGATGTATTTAAAAAAAATACCTTTATAAGGCCCTATCATACACCCGGTGCAATACACTAAGGGTGCTTTCACACTAGCACTTTTGGTCTGCACCCGGTTTTGTTTGACATCAGAGTATGGTACGTTTAGCTAGTGTGAACGTTGTCTTCTAAATTCAAGTGGGCACAACAAACCGTACCCAAGTCCACCTGAAGGAGGTGGTCTGGGGTACCAAATAAGGGAACTGAACTTCCAACTTTACAACAAACTTTAGTTTTCATAATGTTTATTAGTGTGTGGATGTCTGTGTTAGAGATCTGCATGGGACTAAATTTTGTATCCTGCTTCCACCAGGTTTTAGTCAGAACCCCACCGCTCCCACTTATATTCAGCATTTGTTGTCCTGCAGCCCGACCCACCCCGTTTAACAACACATATAATAGATAAGTATAAACACACACACACAGACAGCATCACACTCTCTCTCATTCACACACATAGACAGCACAAAGCTCTCTCTCTCTTATTCACACACACACACACACACACACACACACACACACACACACACACACAGACAGCACAAAGCTCTCTCTCTCTTATTCACACACACACACACACACAGACAGCACCAAGCTCTCTCTCTCATTCACACACACAGACAGCAACAATCAAGCTAAACAGCATTTTTTGCGGCAGATAGATGCAAGTGGTTTTCTGTATTTTGGTTTTGGTAACAAAAGCAAAAGATTCAGTAAAAGCAGAATGACCATTTTGCTCTTTGCTTACATGGCTGTCACCTAGCAACAGCTGTACACGCCACCGCAGCTTAATGACGAAACCATACCAGGGTTCAGAAGGAAAAAAACGGTGTGAACACAAACCAGCCAAGAAGGTGGCAAGGGGAGATTATCGAACTCTGGTTCAGTCCAGGCAACTGAACCACGTGTGAAAGCACCCTAAGTGTTTTTGGGTAGTTTCAAGCCAGTGCAGGTATCTTTTGCTCCTTTAGGGTTGTCCTCAGTGCTTGTATTCATTGCTTATTAGACTCACAGGGATGTGCAGGAGCCCAGTATTATCTTCAAATATGAAAAATTAAGTGATTAAAATGTCACGAGCAGATTCTTTTCCTCGCTAGTGAAGTGTTCAGTTTTGCCAGTTACAAAGTACTCGCTCTTAAAGATAATGGGAGAAGAGACTCTGATGGATTTAATGCCCAAAACACACCCATGAGAATAAGGACAACACTATTAGACTGTGTTGGATGCACTATACTTAAATAGCAAAAGTGGATTCGGACACCCCTTAAGTGCATTTGCACTGTGTGCTTTAAATCATGTGCATATATGATTATAATACAGCCCTATATGTCATAGATGAAATGGTTTTAATATTAAAAGTGTAATGAGAATTTTTTTTCTGAACAAAAAAATGACTGTTATAATGTCATTATTATGATATCCAGAAGACACCCACTTAATATAGTTTAGTGACAGTTAATATACCGAAACATATTGTCAAGCATGTTTAGAACAAGAATATTTGATGGTTTATTAAGACTCCTATTTAAGGATCTGACTATAATCATTTATGATTTTTTTCTCTGTCTCTCTGTATTTGATTAGCAGTCGTTCTCTTGCAATTTTATCTACAAGCATGTTTCCTCAATTATTACAAATGATACAACTGAAATGCAGAGCACTAATGTTTTATCTTCTAAGCACAACTACATTGAAGTTATATTTAGAAAATCTCCATAATCTAACATTATAATAATAATCATTCAGTTTTACTTGTATGTTCTGTTCAGTGGCATAATTGATTCATCAACCCACATGCAGAACAAAGAAATTCACAAATATATAAATAGATATTAACACTTCACTGTACAGTACTTGTTATTATTTAGCACCTCAGATGTCTGTACATCTTTACACACGCTCAGCGTTTTTCAATCTCTGGTGTGTTTCACATAAATTGGAAACTTGAACTTGCATTAAGTTTTTAATTTAGGGAATATGTGTTCTTTAATAACATGTTTTGCCGTAATAACTCCTAATCACAGTTTATTGATGGTTGGTTCTGTCTGGGCATCAGATGACACAATGACACATGGAACGGCCTTGGAATGACTATATCAAAAGTGCCAAAAGTGCACCACAATTCAAAAAATTAGTCAAGATCATGGAAATGAAGAGTAAACTAGACCCTTTTTTTAATGCAATACAATTCAAAAGAGCTTTGTCGGCATGACCTGTCAAGAATTGCAAAAGTATTGTAAATTACATGAATAATAAACTTCAAAGTGATTATATAATAAATATACACAAAATACATACACAAATAAGAAAAAAAACTAATATTCTTTTGTGAATAATTAAAGGGAGAAATTAAAAAATACAAAAACAATACACAAATATATATTCATTCTGATGGTTTGTAGTAACGTTTCAGATAACTTTCTTTCATTTGTGGAAATATACCTAAAAACCATTAATATGCACAAGGGCACAATACACATGAACTGTAGTGTCCTGAACACGAATATATTTTGTTATTTTTATTAAAAGGGGCATATATCTATGCAGTATTTTAGATAGGGAGTACTTTGTGTTTTTTCTCTGTTCTTTTTCCTCAAGGCTGCACCATTTTTGAATAGAGTGATGATGAGTTGCACCAACAATCCGACAGCACCTGGTCAAGGACAAAGCCTTTATCGGCCATGACTACTCCTTCAGGCACCAGTAATCTAACAATTCCAGACTGTTTTGTTATCTTTTGGTCTAATATTGACCCTGCAAAGACCTTTAGGACAGAAGTGATTACACATATGGTGCAATACTTATCAGAGCCCTGAAAGAGGTCTGATTCTTGTAGGTGGAAAAGATTTCAAATCTAAATCGTGTTTAGATGGATAAAGTTACCTGGCATTGTTGTTCAGACCTGTTCCCTTGACATTCAGATTGGCTGTGACCCCAAGACAAGGTGTAAAGATTTCCTCCTTTTTCTTTCCTTCAAACCTCTTATAGCACAAGTCGGTGCTAAAAAAGTTAACATGCATTAACATTCTCTTTCACGCTGACTGCAGCACTACAACAGTACAAGGAAAAACACAACCTCGAATGCCAGTCTACAGTGTGGACTTGGTTTTCAATATTTATTGCATCCTGTATTCTCTGCTCGAGTAGACTAGGCATGGGGAGATACCCAGTTTTTAAGTTTGCTTTGGAAAAGTAAAAGTTTTAAAACTGCATAGATTTGGTTATAGCATTGCTAAGGTATATGTATGATTTTTTTGTGTTTTTTGTAAAGAAATCTTTTTTGAAACTAATGAAGATAGCAGATGTCATTTATTTATTTTATTTACTTAATTTTTAGCCTGACATGTTTACTGTTCCAAAATATTTTAAATGTTTTCTAAAATAAAATATATTGTGTTTAAAATTTTGTTTTTTTTACACCTTTTTTAGAGTAGTAATACCGTGATACCATGAAACCAACACAATCTCACGGCAATTCGTAACTTTTTCATTTAGTGGCTAATTCGTACAATCTAATTTGTACAATTTAGTACGATTTGCTTATCCCCCAATGACGGTTAGGGTTGGGGTTAGGGGTGGGGTTACGTTAGGTGCCACGCCTCCTTTTTAAAATCGTATCATTTAGTACGACTGAAATCGTACGAATTTGTACAAATTAGCCATTAAACTGGCAAAACGTAAAATACTTACGCTTTCTCGTGAGATCAGGCTGCATGAAACATGATATTTTATCCAAGGTTATCATTCCTCCATAACAGCCCATGCCTAGAATAGACTATTTTGGATGCTGATAGGGAAACGGACTCCCAAAATTAAACATCAAAAAATAATAATGCGTTTATCGGTCATTAACTTCACAAATTCTTGAAAGATTTTATTTAGATAAAAAAGCATATGTACATTAATAAAACTACACTTTGCATTATATTGTCTTTGCATTAAAATACAAAAATAAACTAAAATAAATACTTAGTGAATTTGACATTGTTCTCTCTTCTGGCTGCCGTTATCAGTCTCACATAATATTTTTCCTTTTTCTGCAAGTCGGGATAACGCCATTGGAATGCAAAAAAATTTATTTGTTGTGCTCTACCATTTGCTGCATTTTAAGTTTATTCAACTATCATAGCGTTGTGCATATGAATTGTGCAAATCTGATACCCGATATCCTAAAAGTTTGGATGGGGTGGTGGATTTTTTTTCCCTTTCCAAAACCTAAAACCCAAGGAAAGAAATGCCAGTGTGGATCAAGCTCTGTGAGGGGCGCTAAAAGAGTGGTGTTAAGTTGGCTTTGTTTTCGATATCTCTGACAGATACATTGAAACACGGCAATAGCTCACACAGCTCTTACTGTAAAAAAATCTAAACTGTGTTTTTTTTCAAAAATACAAAGCAGATTATGTTTCCCAGCTGTCTTTTTCTTTTTTTTCGTTCGATATTATTAGCACTGCTCCGTTTAAGCTCTCGCAGTAGTAGTCATACTAGCAATCATATTTGCATCTGTTTAAAGCTACAAATATTTGAAATTACATATCAACAGAATCAAACAGAGATATGATCACAAACTGAGCACTTGCAATCAATATACTTCACCCGCAGCTGTTTTTCAGGCATTTATATCCCTCATGCCCATGTCAGAGCTACAATTCACTGATGTTTTCATTCGTCTTTTAGAGATTTAGTCATTGGTGATGACGTTATAGCAGGTTAGTGTCTGCTTTTATATTTGGTGTTGGATTAATATTTGCTGGTAGGGAAAATCTATTGTTTCACTTCTGCTCTTTATACTTTGATTTGCATTTCAATTTATTTATTCTTTTCACTTAAGTGCAAATTAGTATAGAAACGGTATAAAAAGCACACAAACATACTGACAGTTATAGGTACCGTACATTGTTATGGGTCAATGATGCTAATATTTGGCACAAATCCATCAATTTGCCCTTTCTGG